CCACACCGGCAGTAAATAACACATCGTAACTAGAAAAAAACATATGTATAGAATACTTAACAAAATTCAGATTCTTCAATCAGATTAAAATCAGATAATTTACATATATATATAACAATCCATGCTGTCTAGAAATTCTAGATATATTAGTTTGTTAGAATTTTGATCGTAACTGACTTTAAACATTCCTGCTCAAATGATGTGTATTTTTACATTCTGGATGTAGACTCTCGTTATATCTAACACAGCACACACTGTGCAACAACAACAGTTATGCTTTCACAAATTTAGTGTTTCAAATGACTAATTCAACTCTTGGCCATCATAACATCTGATAAAATCTTGAATACAACAAATAGCCTCTCGGCTGAGAAAGCTCCGCTGTTAGAAATGCACATTTTAATTGAAGAACTGAAGATATCATCACAAAATGAACAAATCTGAAAGAGGTCCACCTGAGGTACCTATATGTATAGTATCAAAGCATTCAGACTTGCGGTTTTTAACAAGAATTCAAAAATATCACTTTTTACCAAAAATATTCATCAAAATTAGATAATTGAAGATATCATTTAAAATTAACAAATATGAGAGAGGTCTATCCGAGGTACCTATCTGGAGGTATATGTATAATATCAAAGCAATCAAAATCAAAGAAGTCAAAAATATCACTTTTTACCAAAAATATTCATCAAAATTAGATAATTGAAGATATCATTTAAAATTAACAAATCTGAAAAAGGTCTATCCGAGGTACCTACCTGGGGGTATATGTATAATATCAAAGCAATCAAAATCAAAGAAGTCAAAAATATCACTTTTTACCAAAAATATACATCAAAATTAAAGATATCATCATGAAACGAACAAAGCTGAGAGAGGTCTACCTGAGGTAGTATAGTATTTTACAGTATATAGACATATTTAAGGTTTCCATGAGACAAACAGAAATACAATTCAAAATTGTTGAAAACAACCTTAATGCTGACAAAACTCACAATGTAAGTACCGAGGTAAGTGTGTTTTAAAGTTTGCTTTCAAATACGACATTTATTGAATTGATGTTATTTTGGAGTTGATTCCACTGCTTAGTGGCTGAGTATTTAAAATTGTGCTGTGACAGTGAACGTCTTAATTTAGGAATGCTATCATTAGTAGAAAATCGTGTTAGACAGTGGATCACGATAGTGACTAATGTTATTATTATAGTGGGCAGTGAAATTAATTGATAAGGAAAACCGTTATCTCCATATAAATCTCTCTGCAACACTGTAAAATTTCTAGTAACATTTTCATCAGTGTTTTAACTCAATTAAATTTGCCATCAACAATTGGAAATTAACAACACTCATTTGCATATTAAAAGTCCCAATAATTTTGATGAGGGTGTTTGAATTTGATATGAAATTTTACTTTTATGATTGTATAATAATTCACTAATTGCAGAACACTCTAAGAATTCAATGATTCACCTTTTTCATATTTCACGAAATTCTTCATTTTTAGTCCAAACCCTTCCCATGAAGCATTGGGATCAAAAATACAAATATAAATGAGTACAGATTCTTATGGAACTTTAAATCCTGTCATTTTTGGTGCCAGATGTAAAACATAATGAGGTTATTATGATAATACCACAAAGTATGCACGAAGGCAATCATATTGATCATCTCACTGATAAGTTTCACGCTATTCTGCACTGCCTGAGTGAATATTTTGCGGTATTTTCATAATAACATTATTACAGTTATACATCTTTTCCAGCTTGTACCCTGTAATCATAATTTAGTAAAATATAACCTGTATATAACCTGAAACACCAGCAAAAAGTATTTTACAGTATTCGTCCAAGTGCAAACATTTGCATGACACAAATCTATAGCACATGGTACATTGTTGCCGTATCTGAAGTAAACAAAAGAACCGCTTTAAATGTGGCGTAAATTTAAGTTGTACATGTTCAAAATGAGAATATGTGAATATTCAGTTTTGAATACAGTAAAATACTTTATTTTAGCTAGAATTAATTTTCACTGAAAGGACTTTTTGGGTGTTTTGTATGGAATTTATTTTCACTGATTTCTGACAAGTTGAATGTCAATACAGGGTTTCTATGGATGTTATATTGTGATATTGTTTTCATTGTCAGTGTATGATAAAACAGTTTGAGTATTGATTCTTATCTGCTGAATAGGAATCATAGGTCATAGGTCACGTATAACTAAGTAAAAGTATTCTTGAATGGTCACTGGTAGCATAGTGGTTGTCGCATCAGACTCATGATCGGTAGACCCAAGTTCAAATCCTACCCTAGGCTGAACATCAAAAGGGTCGACCCCTACCCTGGGTGAGTGTGCCACAGACTCAATGAGAAGGGAAAGATTGATTCACTAACAAACACGACTTTTCAAGGGAACCTTGATTAAGGTCCGCAGGTGCTTGCGTTTGACCGAGCCTGGTTGACGCCAGGATAGCGCATTAAATTGCCATTTGATAGGGAGATGTAATCCCAAACATGAATATGACTTAAATAGGAAAAAATGAACTATGAGTCATCACTAGCAACTTGCACATACAAAAAAAGTCAGGAGAAACAACAATGTCCAGAACTGTCGCCTGGCACAAAAAAAAATATTAAAACATTTTGGAATTATAATAATCTAAAACTTACCTATCTACAAACATAATAACAAGATCTTTCTCATCTTTATATTTCTCTAGGCCATCTTTAAGTAGTCTTACTTTTTGTCCACCTCCTATGTTATTCATGTCACCACCTTGCCATTCCACTCCCAAACCAAGTACCTGACAAGACAACATAACATGCATATAGGTATGTATTAGATTGTCTTTAGAAAAAATAGCTAAAAATGGACACAGTAATATTAGTTATTAGGGAAGTTACATGTATGCTATTAAAAGTGACCAGACAAGGGGCTTATTAATCTCTTTAATTAAGTGCTATATAAAATTTAAATACAGTAGTTCCAACTATTTTCTGTGGTTTGATAACATTTTATTGAGGTCATCCCGACATATCTACTATAAGTAATCTGTCAGTCTGTTTACAAGGAGAAGTTGAAAATTAACAAACAGCCAGTCGACTGAGATAGCTCCGCTGTTAGCAATGCACATTTCAATTATAGAACAGAAATATCATTAGAAAATGAACAATATGCATAGTATCAATGCAACAGGACTTGCTGTTTTCAACAAGAGTTCAAAAATATCATTTTTCACCATAAACGATTGTGGTTTTTAACAAGAAGAAAAATATTCATCAAAATTAGAAAATTGAAGATATCATCATGAAATGAAGAAATTTGAGAGTGGTCCACATGTAGTACCTATATATGTAATATCAAAGCAATTGGACTTGCGGTTTTTAACAAGAAGTCGAAAATATCACTTTTTATAAAAAATGACAAAAATATTCACCAAAATTAGAGAATTAAAGATATCATTACAAAATGAACAAATCTGAGAGGTCTAAATGTAGTACCTATACATGTAATATCAAAGCAATTGCACTAGCGGTTTTTAACAAGAAGTCGAAAATATCACTTTTTACCAAAAATTACAAAAATATTCACCAAAATTAGAGAATTGAAGACATCATCACAAAATGAACAAATCTGAGAGAGGTACACATGTAGTACCTGTATATGTAATATCAAAGCAATTGGACTTGCGGTTTTTAACAAGAAGTCAAAAATATCATTTTTTACCAAAAATGACAAAAATATTCACCAAAATTAGAGAATTGAAGATATCATTACAAAATGAACAAATGTGAGAGAGGTCCACATATAGTACCTATATATTTAATATCAAAGCAATTGAACTTGCGGTTTTTAACATGAAGTTGAAAATATCACTTTTTACCAAAAATGACAAAAATATTCACCAAAATTAGAGAATTGAAGATATCATCACGAAATGAGCAAACCTGAGAGAGGTGCACATGTAGTACCAATATATATATAATATCAAAGCAATTGGACTTGCAGTTTTTAGTAAGAAGTCGAAAATATTACTTTTTACCAAAAATGACAAAAATATTCACCAAAATTAGAGAATTGAAGATATCATCATGAAATGAACAAATCTGAGAGAGGTCTACCCAAGGTACATATACACCAAGTATCAAAGCATTCAGGCTTGTAGTTTTCAAGAAGAAGTTGAAAATGTAAAACATTGACACGGACGACGACGGAGGACACCGGACAATCACTGATATAATAAGCTTCGCTCGACAAAGTCGACAGCGGAGCTAACAAAAAATTACAATATCGAAAAAATATCATGCAGATGACAGCAGACAAGAAACCACATGAACAACTGCTCTCTGATATCCAGAAACTTGAATTGGGGGGGGGGGTATCTGATGCAGATCATTTGAAAAATTAGGACTGTCACACTTTTTGATAAAAAATGCACTTACTTGTAAATATTCTGAAAGACCATTTTTCTCAACTGATCTCATAAATCTTTTATAACCATCTGTTTCTTCCGTTGCCACGGTAAATATCACAAGATTCTCTTTACCTGAAATCAAGATCAAAAAAGACTTTAAAAAAATGTCTATTTCTAAATTTTTTGTAATCTCTGAAATGACCTTATTGGCATTTACCAATCAGTGTTACTTGCAGTTACAGTGTTCTTCCCAGGTCTTATAAGCACAGG